AAGTAGCAGCCTGTCTTTTGGAATAGTGAATGATGTTTATATATGAGTCGATATATCATATCATATCATTTCATTTCATTGGTTAAGTGTCAGTCTTCTTTGTTTGAGTTTGTGCCTTTGCCTCCACAAGTTTAAAAGGTATTGTGTTTGGTCGACCTTTAGTTGGTTGGTGTTTTGTTCCGTTGGTTTGTCTGTCTAACTTAGACCAAGTAGCGCGTTGCCGGCAAGATCTGTCAGTTGAGCCTGGCTAAAGCCTGCACCATCATTTTCTTGGCCCTGGATGCCAAGCAGCTCGGAACCCAACAACAAGCGATTCCTGTCAAAGCACCAAATCTGGCTGCGTGGAAGAACTATTGGGAGGATACTGCCCCCGGTTGCAAACCTGTTGGCCGAGTGGTAGATATCGGCAAACCTGACATCCTTGCCAAGTTCCCTGTCATGAGCAGCAAATCCCACCACCTCAGCAACTCAAGACAGCAAACATGGTCAGACGGTGTGTCAATGATTCGGGATTCAAGGATGGATGAACACAGACATGCCAAGTCATACAGCGTGAGCCAAGTCACTTCCTTCGCCCTGTCAGTCAGAACAGCAAACCAAGGGGAGCTTGTAATGGTCTCGCTGATTTGCAGTGGCCAAGACAATCCGCCTCATTCATGTAAGAAATGATGAGCAATTACAGCCGTTGGTTGTGTTGGTTGATTGTCTTCTGTGCAAAACCTAGACAAGACACGTTTCTCTGCAATAGACATATGCAAACCAATCCATGTAGGATTCTTCTCCTTCTCAGATTCTGCATCCTTTAGGTTCTCCTTTTTCCTCATGTGCTGCAAGTCCCCCAGATACTGCTGCACAGACTCGTGGGTGTCAGGGAACAAGAACTCAGCCTCCAGCTAGTTCAGCTGACAGGTGAAACAACTCGTGCAAACTACAGGTGAATCATGTGCTGCATACCTTACATAGCAAATCATATCAGAGTGCAAATCATATCAATCTAATGAATGAACAAAGTCAAGAAGCTGGATCCGGTGGTTTGATATACATCTTGGTCAGCAACAGCTTCACTGACTCAAAGAATTCCTGGGCAGTGCAGCTGACATTTCGAGTGTTCTTCTTGAGACAAAGGATGTAGATCCTGTAGCGGCTTTGTGGCAATCCGAACCATGAGGATTTCAGCAAGTAGCATTGGCTCGAATATCCCAACCTCCCAATCTCCACCAGGCACAAATCAAGATTTGTCTGCCTCATCGAATCGCAGCATTCAGTTCATTAGATACGATTTGATGATTTGATGGCATTGAATCTGACATTGATCTTAGTTAGGAGATAGGACTGATACTAAATGTTGATGAGGGACGTGTCTTTGTCAACCTCCCTATCTATTGTCTGCACATTCTCAAAGAGGGCCCACATTGGTTGACACAGGGACAATACGTCGCAGCAAGCAGAGAAGGTGCTCACACTGGCAACTTTGCCCTTAGCTGTAATGTGGCAATGCATTTTACTCTTACTTACTGATTTGAAGTCACCTGCCTAAAAGCAAATATCAACTCACAACTCATGACACAACCTGAATCCTGGCTAACAACATGACTTAGGATCTGTTGGATCATTCCTGGAGTTCTTCTCCATAGCATTGGCGTTCTTCATGCAATCCTTGTTCAAGTTGCTGTACGATGTGCAGGAGAATCCTGCACCGAAACTATTAATTTGTCTTGGCACTCGGCAAGGACCATTGTGTGTTGCACACAACCTCTGCTCATCATCCCTGAGCAGTGTGGCGTCCTTGCGAAAGGATAACTCATAGTCAGAGTCATAGTCTAGTTGTCAACAATGAATCCATCAAACGTTGGGATGTGTCAAAAATCAAGTAAGATATTCAATCCACAGTTCTTACAACTAGAACTTGCATTCACAAGAAAAGACAACCTGCACCCGCCCGTACCCACATAAACTTCAATCGGTCCTTGAAGAGGCAATAGTTGTCGGCCATCCCTCGCAAAGCGTACTCAGCCTTGAAGGCAACACACTCTGCACCAAATAGTGGTTCCACCTCGCAGAGGAATCTGTCCGATCTTTTGGGTCTTCTTCATGTTGCCTTTACCAGTCTTAATTTTATGAAAGGAATCAAGTCAGCAGAACTTTCAGGCAAGGGACCGATGCTGTATCATTTGGAAAGCCAAAAGTGCACATTAAGGATTGAAGCGCAGCCGTAGCAGCTGATTCAAACCTCAATGACTCGTGACAGTTGATTGATCAATAAACCGTGACACCAACATGACACAACATACAAATACAAAATCTAACTAACAAAACATATCCTAGAAACGATCCGGTTCCTGTACAAATTGAAGCAATCGGGAATTCACTCTCACATTGAGTTTGGAGGTTTGCATAGATCCGAGAATGAGGTGACTCACAGTGGTGCTTCAACATCAAGGCACTCATGACCTCGCACGACTTGCACATGGTAGTAGCACTGTAGCAGTAGTAACAATGCATGGTCATGGTCATGGTCCATGGTAGTAGTAGCAGCAGTTGTTGTTGTTGTTACTGCTGGCTGCTGTTGTTCTTTTGCTTGTTGTCGTTGACTTTTGCTCTTGTCACGTGACCAACCAAAAGCTGAACGGTAAGGAAAGTAGACCAAAAATGTCAAGGAGCATTGGCTGTGTGAAAGATCATGTCATTCACCCTGGGGTAATCAGACAACTGCTGTGCAACGTATTTGTCTGCAAGGGCAAGGTCACATCTTCCACCGTCATCTAACACAGGCGGAGCATATATTTCATCATCATCATTGTCATCGACATCGTTTCCCGTGGATTCCTCTTCTGCTCGAGGTGTAGGCATAGAACCTGTTTGCAGCACAATGAAACTGCCACACACAAACACATTGAACCCTCTTGTCAAACAATAGTAAATATGTTGGAAAGTCAATATGCGGCATAGTCGTAGTTAGATAGTTAGATAATTAGATAATAGTTAGATAGATTTTGAGCCATGTATGTATCTGGCTATACTATGTCATAGTCTAGTACTATTATACAATATTAATATTATTATATACTAAGAGAAGGAGAAGGACTTTGTTGGCAAGTCAAGAAACGGAAGAAAGTCTCCACCGAGGCATCAAATGTTGTGAGAGACCGATGGTCGGTCTCGATGAAATCTGGCGTTCCTCCGCTGGTTGGCTGCGGCTCTCCAGTTTCCTGGATTTGCCGATTCTGATTCTGTAGTGGCCCTATGCTGCTCATTGACACTGGTGAGCCATGCAAAATGCTGGCATCAGCACCAGCAGCGTCGACAGCATCGGTATTCAGCTTCTCACTTTGCGCAGTCTTTGCTGAGTCTTTCTCTTTTGTCTTGTCCAAAGGTACTTCTACCTCCATCCCTGAGGTTTGGTCTCCTGCCAGTGTGTCCTCGTCTGCTATGGCGGGTTCCTCTGGTTGTTGAGTTTCTTCTAAAGTGTTCTGCACTTTGTTGCAATCTTCCGGGGTGCTTGCTGCTGGTTGTTCTGAAGAAGGTTCTTCTGCTTCCTGTGCTGGCTGGCTGGCTGGTGCTTGCGATGGGGTAACACCGCTGTTTGTGTTTGTTTGAACTGCTGTTGAATCCAATTCAGAAGGTACCTTTCTGTCAAGAACAAGCGCCAGCTCAGTCTCTAACACCTGCAGGTGTGCCTCATCTGGCAGTGACTGCTCAGGTGATTGCTCAGGTGACTGCTCAGGTTGCTGCTGCGGACATGGGTCATCATCTGCTGGCTCTGTTTTGATACCTGTTTCGTGTGGACATTGGTCATCCGCTGTTGCTGGGGACATCACTGAGGCATGTCCACTTTTAGCTGTCGCTGTTCTCTCCATATCTACTGCAACTGAGTACTCTGCTGCTGCCACTGCCTCAGGTAGAGTGGCAGGAATCTGAGGAAGATCAGTTAGAGGAGGCATAGGTTCTGCAGGCTCTTTTTTTACCAAGGCGTCCAAGGCCTTCTCAGCCTTTATTTTTGCCCAGGATTTTTCACCTTTGATGGAAAGCCAGGCATCAAACTTGTCACAAGTCTCCTTTGGGTTGCATGTCCAACGGTCATCATGACTCATGCCTTCGTATTCCTCGAAGGCATGGACATGCTCGTGCTGCTTGCACTTCGTGACGCGGCCATAGAGCTTCTCAAACCAAGGATCCTTCCTTTGGCTGTAGTAGCTCCTAGTCGATTCCTTGATTACATTTTTCTGCCATGCTCTCAGGCTAGTAGCTGGCTCAGGCACAGCACCTGCCTGCAAAGCAGTGCGAATGTCCTCGCTGGTTCCGTGGCTTTGTTTCCTGGCCCGTTTTGCTGAGCGCTCAGCGACGGCCATTGGATCTATATAGTTTGCTACGGACCAAATTCAACACTCAACACTTCTTTGACTGCCCTGACTGAGCAAAAGGTCGCCACCACCACAATGTGACAAAGACAAAGAGTCTTCAATGATCTACGATCGGAACATCAAAGGCGGAACAGTGGAACTCAGAAAGAAGACATGAATCTTAATCTCTGAATCACGAATGACAAACATCTGAGAATCACTGATGGTCCAGTACAGCATATGAGGTGTCTATGAATGTATGTGCCTGTATATATATATATATATATATATGTGATGTGTGTAATCAGCTACCTGCATGTGCAGTTGTAACATTGCTTTCCACTTCCTGTTTCTCCAATCACTACATCGGCAACGGAGTTGGTAACCTGCAAGGCGGATACTATTGCTGCATGCATATTGTTGATACTATGTACAGATGCTCAGATGCTGATGTTTGTTGCTACCATCGCTGCCAGCCCAAAGTACGACTAGCAGCGAGACTGTGACTGTGACACTTTCCTAAGTGAGAGGCGAGCAATCTTGCACCCCATGCAAGGTACCTGCCGCTCGTCTGTACTGGGATTGTCAGGAAGGCACTCACTCATCACACTCATTCATGCAGCAAACGAGTTCGAACGCTGACACGCAATCAAAGTCTGCTCATTGTGACTCCTTCCTCTTCTTGGGATTTGAAGCTGCCTCAATCCGCTTGGACAAGTCACGCATCTGTTGGATGACAGGTTCAGGGACATCAAGATTGTGTAGCTCCTTGAACTCAATGGTCTTGTCCAAGCTGTTTTTGATTGCCATAGATAGATTGCCAGAAGCCTTCGACCCCAAGATACGCAGGCATGTTGCCAGGCAAGCAATGCTGAGCCACCGCGTTCGTTCTGCGCTTGCAAAGCTGAATTCAGGAAGGATGGTCTCAGGCTGCACGTTCAACACAGTTGCATCTTGAGTCACTGTGTCCAATCGGGTCTGCATCTCATCGCTAAGGGAAGTCAGCTGCTTGTGACGGTTGTTCTGCATCATATTCAACAGGAATGACTTCTCATTTCCCTCAGTGTAGACTGGGAATGGCTCCATTTTCTGTTCAGCTTCCGTAATGTCCTTCACACTGCGTCGATGATCCTCAATCAACTCTTTGAACTCTTTGGTGAGGACTTCTTCGGACAGCTTAACCTCGTTCTGTCCAATGCAATGGAACACAGGAGAGTCTATGGTCTATATATACAGTTCATGACTCATAACTCATAACTTTATCATATGAAATTGTTACTGTAACTGTTTTCTGTTTAATATACAGTATATAAATTTGGATAGATAGATATATTGATAGTATCCATATATTTTATATATTTTTTTAATATTATTAGATTATATCATATCATATCAGCATCAGCATCAGTATGTTAAATGGCATGGTACCGATGGTGATCCAATTGCCTGCTTCAGCCAAGCTACAAATGCATTGATGAGGAGATCATCTTTCACTGAGCCATCTGGAAAAAGAGTAGCGCAAAGAATGCCAGAAAGCTCCCTCAGATAATAGCAGGTCGCGCATGTATAGATAAACATTTGTGCTGAAACAAAGAAGAACCAACAATGCACAAACAGGCCATTGGCTGAATCAGACAAGAATCTTGACCCGATCAATGTTGACCTGCTCGTGAAGGCCATGTTGCAAGGCACATTCAGAAGGCAAGAAGCCACAAAGAATGAAGGCGTCGAAGGCTTTGCGTACGGACCCGGAAACATGATGCTTCTGTGCATTCTTGCAAAAGTGGCATGTGTTGACCATGGCTTCCACAACTCCTGTCACACTCACAAGGATTTCCCGTTGCTTGGTGTCATATGGTCCAGTGGCAAGGAGCTTTGCATCAGAGATTGCTGCGTTGAGGTCCTCAATTGGAGGCAGACCATCGTCCTTCCCCTCTATCGGGTTCGGGGCAGCCGCAACGACCTGCATGAAGACAAGGAAGGCCTCCTTTGGCATAGCAATAGCTGCATGCCACACCTGCACCGAAGTGTCACTGACAAATAGCTGGAGCTCTTTGTTCAATTCTGCAGATGCATCAGTGAGCTCTGGACATGAAATTAAGAGCTTCTCCAATGAGTCACTCCAACACTGAAACTTCCGGCAAAGCATAACTGAGCATTCGCGAAGGGCAGCAGACACACTGTCCTCACCAGCCATTCTCAGCAATGTATCCGTTTCTGTGCTTAAACTTGAAGTAGCATTGTAGAAGCCAGAGATGTCATCTAATCCAGCAAAGCGCTGCCCTGTCGCCTTTTCAAGGATGTCGTTGACATTCATGATCCCAAAGCCCGGAGCTTTTGAAATGACCTTTGAAGCCCTGAGCGTCTTGAGTTGAATGGCAAGCCAAGGTTTGGCTTCGCTTTGACAATGCTGGTTCAGCAATGCCTTCGCAAACTTGAAGAGAACATCAACAGCACATTGAAGCATTGACTTGCCACTTGAATCGTCGGCTGCCACCTTGGCTGCTAGACTCCGAACAGAAGATGCCTCTGTGGTGAAATACCGCACGGAGTCTTCCAACTTTGTTGCTGTGACAGCATCGGTGTACGATTCACAGCGACTGCAAATGTCCTTCAAGTCACTGGCCACTTTCAATACATGTTTCTTGCCTTCGAGTGCCTCCTCCACCATTGACATGATCTTCTTTCCCTGAGAAATAGCCTTGAATGAAGCCAGGATGTTTCTGTCCGCTGACGCCTCTGTCTTCAAGGCTTGCAAACCATCTCCAACTGCCTGTGGATTGGCAGTATTGGCGTTTACAACAGCATGAATGGATTGGAAATCCTTCAGAGCTACTTCCTCGGGAAACCTGTCCACCATCACTGACAGGAAGCCCCTGAGTGGTTCCAATTGCTCATTGTTGGCATCCAAGGAAGCCTAAGTCTGATTTGGGTCAGAATCTGTCTCAAAGTAAGTCTTATTTTAACTTCAACTGTTTCCTGGTAACTCAAAAAGGGCAGAAGGGTTTTCAAAGACCAGGCAAGCAGCTGTGTCAAGCGAGATGGTCTTGACTAGCTTCTGCAGAACCAAAGACATTTGCTGCTGGAGTGTGGTTGTGACGTCAGCCACGGGAATTTTAGCCTTTGCAAACTCAAGCGTCCCAGAAAGCATAGCATCCCAGCGTTTGAACTTCATGTCTTCTTGCCACCTCATGCGTACCAGTCTCAGGAAGACTTCCTTACCCAAATTTGCACCATGGCCAATCAACTCATCCGCAGCAGCCCACAATTCATCAGCAGGAGTGTTACCTCTTGTAAGTGCCTTCAGCAGCAAGGACAAGCTTTCCACAACCTCCTCAAATTCCTCTGCCTTCTGCATGGCCAGCTGTTGATTCTCTTGGGCCCTTCTACGGACTGTGCGCTTGCGGGCCTTCAATGCGACAAGCATGGTTGAAACTTTCTTCAGATGCTCGGTCACATCGGTCTTGAACGCCTGGTCTTGTTCTTGTGGTGAGAACTCAAGCAAACATCGAATCTTGTCTTCGTACTCCAATGCCCACTTTTCATCCTCATCATTCATTTTGTTTGTGTTCCCTCTTCCAGGTACCGACAAAGCCGGATCCATGTTCTGCACATTCTGGCGTGGTCTCCTTGGCCTCTTGGGATCATTCTTCTCTTCAGTACCGTTGGCACGAGTGGGAGTGTCAGGGACACCATTGTCAGTACGGAGGGCATCAATTCCAGCAGCAGCTGCGGATCTTTTGTTAGCTTTCTTTGGTGCTGCCTTTGCTGCTGTCTTTGGTGCAGCTGAAGAAGCAGCATTTCCGGATTGCACCCGAAGCAGCAAGCCATCAAAGCATGACTTAGAAGCTGTAGAGTTGTCATCCTCTGGGGCTGTCTCAACCGCTTTGGTTTCCGAACCACCAGAGGAAGCCGGTGGAGGAATCCCTTCTCTACCAGAACTTGACGATGTTGGCGCTGTCACTGAACCCATGGTCTCATCCCCATCCCCATCCATGATTCCAAGCAAGAAGGATGCCCGCTTCATAGATGGCTCATTCACAATCCTGCGGGGCTCTTGGTTCACCATAAGAGTGATAGCCTTCTTCTCAGTCTTTTCCATCAAGTTGTCGCAGAGGCCTGGAACTCCAACAGAATCCAAGAGCTGATGTGTCTTCCTCACACCTGAAATGGCCTTGTCATCGACTCTGTATACCCCATGCTGACCATCCTCCCATGCCATAAGCCATTGCCGGCCGACGCAGTAGACCTGGGATGCGGAACATGTAGCATTGTAAAGAGTATATCATATCATATCTTAAACTATATTCGCTATAGGCTATACTCATACCACAATCTACTAAAAATATTGTATAATTTAATGATAACTGATGTGCTAGGCTATGATTCAAAAAGATTTCACCAAAGACTGCATATTTAAAACAACAAATCTCACACTATCCAGGTGACTCCAGCGATAGGTTCCCCATGTCTCCTCTTCCAGTGGATCTGATCTTCTTTTGGTGGTGTGCCGGTCATGATGTGATATGTTTGCACAAGCACAAAGAACTGTAGTGGAGCTGTGAGCTCTTCCACGGACGACTCGATGGCATCCAATTGACTCAGTTGTAGCTTCATAGCAGGCTGAAATGTTACTTTCTTTGTGGTGTATAGCTATAGCAACAAGTTATTCATACGAGAAACACTCTGGGGCCAAGCTGATCAGCATTTCGAATGCGCATTCCGGGATTGTCCTGCTTCAGCTTCACCAAGGTCTCGCGTTGTTTCAGAAACCTTGGAAAGTTTTGCTGAATCTTTATGAAATCTTGTGTGGGCGTGTTCACTGAGCAGCACACTGAATACAGCAAAAGTGATGTCACTCACCTAGGAACCCATGAACTGCGGTCGGATGATTCCGGAAGTGTGCTGCAAGCTTCTTGAGCGACCCATGTTCAACCTCCCACCCACCATGCGAGTGAACCTGAGCATGACTCCCACAAAGAAGACACAGCACAAATGAGACACACAAATAGTTTCATACAAATTGTGCACACAAAAACATATACCTTGAAGTCAAGGACAGAGCTACATTGGCACACAACAAGCAGGTTAATCCCTTTGGTTTTGATCGCACGCCCAAATACCATGGTAGCAAAGGGTACCAGGCATCATTCGACGGGTTTTTCACTGTGTATGGGCATTGTGAGGTGCTCCAATTCTGGCAGAACTGACACCGCACAGCCAGATAATCTGGCCCCAAGTCCTCGATTGTGCAATGGAGTGATACACTCTTACTTTTCACTCTGAATTCAGGTCTGCTCCTACAAATCAGAGGAAAGATTGCCTGCAAACCATACCTAGGTTCGACTCCATCTGGGGCTGGGGGAGCAACGGCCATGGCACTCTTGGTAGTAGTGTTAGTTGCAAAGTGTTCTGACTCTTACACCCTGAGCCTGAAGCACTACAATAATAGATATTCTAAGTACATGCAAGTACTCTGTGGGCGTTGGACGCCTGTTTGTTCACACACCTGCTTGCCCATGCATGTGTGTGTGATCGCCCACACACTAGTGCACATGCCCGCTCGCACGCCCGCTCGCACGCGCGCTCGCACACCCGTCGTACACTCGTACACCCCCATGTTCATCCCACGCTCGTGCCCCCGAGTAGGCTCTATTTTTGAACATCAATACTTAAGTGCTCTACAGCCTTAAAAATAGTGCCTACCCAAGTAGGCTCTATTTCTGTACGAGCGAGTGCGCGTGCAAGTGCGCGACGTGTAGCTGTACGAGCGTCGGACGTGTGTACGACCGCTCAACGTGTATGTACGACGTGTGGTACGAGCGTGTGACACATGCCACTGGACACACATTGACTTTTGCCCAACAGCGCCGGACATTCAGAAGCGTCACCAATGCTTCAGTATGTCACCATTGCCTTGGAAAACTCCAAACAAAAACACACTCCAACACATACACTCAACACAAGCCAATGCTGATTCTGCCAACAATAAACAAGGACAAAGGTACTGGGTAGAGTCTGGTGTGTGCTGTCTTCTCACTCCGAGTGGGAACCATTTTGGGCCCGATGTAAAGCCAATGCATGATACGGTCATAAGACCCCTTTCCTTTGGCACCAAACTCAGAGAAAGCTCTGGCGGTTTTGAGCACAGAACAACCATGGTGTTGGCATTTGACAGCCACTGCGTGATTCGTAGTACCAGGACGTACTTCTGTGATACGGCCTCCAGCGGGGCGCAACACACAAAACAACAGAACCAGTAAGATGTCTAGTTGGAGGACTCCTGTTAAAGCAAAGGCTAAACTCAATTGAACAGACAGAACCCCTGAACCATGAGCAGAACAACAACAACAACCAAAAACATCTATATAATATATGATATGTATATAATTTTATATAATATATATATTATATTATATTATATTACTTTATATTACAAGATATACTTGAAACAGCATGCACTCAAATAGTAAAATTTGATTTTGCACCACTGTGTGTCCAAGAAAAGTAGTTTCCCCACCGACAATCTCTTGGCTGTAGACATACCCCTGCTCATCCATGAAATATGGTGGCTCTCGTGGCTGCCCATCAGATGCAGGCTGGGGCTCGTCTGGTTCTTCTCCAGGCTCCAACTCGTCTTCCATGTCCTGAGGCTCCTGTGTATCTTCAATATCCCGAGGCTCCTGCGCGGTTGATGCTGTAGTCCGTGATGATTGCACTCCCTCCTGGACAAAGCGTCTTTCAATCAATTATCGAGGCTTGTGCACTTCCACTGACACTGTAGGCTACTGAATTGCGGCTCACTAGTGATTGTTTACTATTTACTGCTCTATAGACTATAGAACTTATATGAAGTACTATGCGATTACATGAGATTTACAATATAATTTCATATAGTTAGACATGAATGGGTACTTCACCTTATTGGCCCTCCAAAAGAAGACCAAACAGGAAATAGCGACTTCAAAATGACTAGACTGGACTAGACACCTGAGATTTCCTCTTTGACTTTGGCGCAGCTTCACCAACATCTGGAGGTTTGCCGTTCAAGTCAAATGAGCACGCTGATAGATGCCCAAGATGGCGCTCCCTGGCAAACAGCCATTCCTGCTGGATCTCTTCCAGCTCTGGATCGACAGTGCGAACTTCATCAGATGGAAGAGTGTGTCCTGATTGGGCACATGTCAGGCAATTTGCAACAAGACTACAGATTGTGACTGGACTATGTTTGTGATTCAACGATGCTATGTATGACTGTATGACTCTATGACTTTGACTCTTTTTGCTTCCTGCTCAAAAGAACGCATCACAACAGGATTGATTGTGCAGCTTAGGCTCCTTTCACATCAAACTTCTTTTTAGCACGCCCCGCTTGTCCAGCGTTGTTGCTACTGCTCGGTGTTTGTTTCTTGTAGCTCTGGCGGCTATCAGATGAGTCAGGATGTTCTCCCAGCAGACCTGAAACAAGGTCTGAGATAAAGTCTATCTCATCGGGATCGTCTCCATCTCCGCCGTCTCCATCACTCTCTGAGTTGATTTCCTCATCCTCACAAGCCCCCAAGGCAACCCATTCAATTGCATTTGGAATCACCAGTGTCAACAAAGACGTCCGAGTCAACCTGTAAGCAGCATTGAAGCAGTATTGAAGAGAACCATGGGCAGGGTCCTGGGTAGGATTCAGCCTTGCGATGTCGGCTGCCATGCGACTTGTGGAAGAAAACTGAAATGACTCCATCGTTGTGTTGTCCACAGAAGACTTTCCCAGTTCCACCATACAAGGAAATTCCAATGGCTCTTCCAGACACAACTCTATGCTGTCAAGGCGATATGGTCTGAAGGCTGCAAACGTGATGAGCCACGCTCTCACCACCTCTCTCTTGCTGTTCGGGCACAACCACCGAGCAAACAAAAGGGGGTGTCTGGTTTCCTGACTGATCCGTTTCTTCAGCTCATTGTACATCACTTTCAGGCCCCTGGTAATGTCAATCAAGAGGTTCTTGGCTGATGCATACAGTGCACGATTGACTCCGTACAAGCCACATGTCATACAGAAGTCTGAGCATACCATATGTTGTTTACAGTCGATTGGCTCGACAGCATCACTGGCAACTGACATGGAATGAGACTTCACCCAATCCTGAGCCAGTGACTTGACAAAGCCACCACGCTGTGAACAAGCTTTGAAGAGATCGATTTGGATTGGAGCCTGCATATCACCAATGCCACACAGACCAAAGCCCTTCTGATGCTCTGGAGAAAAGTTCTCCTTGTTTGAACGACATTGACGCTTGGCAGACTCATGTCCCACAGCACGCTGCTTGTAGGTGTTCCTGAGATCTTCATCAGCCTCAGACAAACAAGGGACCGCACGTGCACTGGTCACTAGCAGTAAGCCGAGCAAACACATCATCCTGTACTTCTTCTACTTTGGAAAACTTTGGCGAAATCAGACAGTAGTAGATTAAATATTAGCCGCTCGAGCTGATTGTTTTGATATGGCTCCCTGCTGTGGCACATGTTCTCTATACTGTAGGTTTAAAACATACCGAGGCCAATGCCAATGTCAATATCTATTAGTCTATTACTAGTCTGTATCTCAGACTGCATCACCGGATCAATGTCATTTGTTCCCTGAGTTGTTCATTGCTGCATTGTTACTAACTACCAATAGACAAGAAAACTGTGTCCTTTCCATCTCTAGTCTATGTCATCTATAGTCAATGTCCATGTCGACTAAGTCTATGGATATGTTCAAAACCAACAAAGAGTTGAAAGCAATAGCTGCACCATACCAGACCTCTACATTGAGTTCAGGGTTTACAACACTAATATGATTAGTAATAGTAACCAAATACTAGAGTAATAAATTCGGCGGTTATTGATTTTATGGAACTACCCTCATTATCATCATATCATATCATATAAATCATATAGTTTATTGCTCACATCGAATCATTGCTGATTACTATACGACTATACACTATATCACACTCTCAGCCTCAGCCCAGCATTTAGTAGTTGGGTAGGCTTCAGAATCGGTACACCTTCAATCCAGACTCTTGCCATAGCTATTTCGTTTGATTCTAGCGCACTACTACTCCCAAGTCACAAATCAAAGGACTCTGACCCCTGCCGCTGGGGAAATGGCTTTTTGTGTGTGTGGTATCAAATCCGACGCATTTGACATGATGTTTGTTGTTGTAAGTAGTCAGATGAATCAGC